GTTTTCACCTTTTTCCTTCTGCTGGACTGCTCTCTTAACCCAACTGGACTTCCGCTCAAAAGTCAATGTGCCTGTTTTTATTCCAGTCTCTTCGCTGCTTTGTCCAGCTGTCTACTGCTTGGCTATTTTGTGTGTGGGATAAATATTAGTTAAGTCAAAATTTTTCTGGATATTAAGCTGGTGGTTTTCTCTGTTTCTAGTTACTTTGGACACTTGGAAGGCTGCGGTGCTGATCTACACAAAGAAATCCGAGACACCTACTATCAACTTGTACTATTTTTGGTCAAAGCAATCAAAGGGTTTAATAGCATAAATGACAGGTACTGGATTGCCTTTACATTTCTTAAGGAAAAATGTATTCTTCTGATTATATTCACTTACTAATATGTTCTTTGCGTGTGTGTGTGTGTGTGTGTGTGTGTAAAATGTATGCATTGGATAGGTTTTTGGCCTGTTATCTTCAGTGTTTGATATATGTTATGTGAAGATTAAAACTTGAGTACAAAGCAGATTCTTGTCTCCTCTATAGTTAAGTTGTTTAGACATGATCCTTAAATCAGATGGTTCTTCTGTAACTGTCTAACCTTAGCTAGTTTGGGACTGCACTAATGTTGCCCTTCATCAGTGCATGACTTCACTGCTTACTCCCTCACTGTCAGGTGCTCCAAACTCACTTTCTAACTTTCAGAATTGTAGTATTCTTTTGTTTTGGTTTTTTGGCTTTTTTAAGCTTCAAAGGGTATTTGTGTAAAGTCCTTTCTTACAAATTAGTACCAAATCAGGCTGCCAATTTACACTGTCCCTGTTGGCAGTGGGCAGCTTTGATAATTGTCACCTGTGTGATCTCTTTAGGTCTCTGCTTCCTGCTTTATCCTGTGTTCAGACAGCTCTGCTTCATCTTTTGGATATGGGCTGGGAACCCAGTGATCTTGCCTTCTTTGTTGACATTCAGTTACCAGATCTCCTTATGAACATGTCACAAGAAAATATCAGCGTCCATGACAGTGTGATCAGGTAAGAGCACAGTCCTGCCCTTTGCTCTTCTGAGAGTAGGGGCATGGGTAGAGTTGGGGCAAGGAAATGGGCTTGGCAGCTAGTCTGTAATATGCTCTGGCTTTACCACATGTGAACTGGGTGACGTTGCAAGTTTTTTTTTTGTTTTGTTTTTGTTTTGTTTTTTTGTTTTTGTTTTTTGTTTTTTAACCTTTCTGTGACTCTAATTCTTCATCTTTAGAGCTACCTCTAAGACTTGTGGAAAATGCCTAAGTTTCATTTCTGAGCGTCTAGAACAGTGCCTGGTTTAGAGTGGGCAGGGTAGGTAGTTTGGCAGCAGTAGTGTTGTGAACATGGAAGATGAGGATTGTCTTCATTTGGGGGTTCCTAATAGGCTGTGGAATTGGATAATCTTTTTTTTTTTTTAACCACATTTGTGTGCTGTTAGCCTCTATAGTGTTCTGCACATTCTAAAGACTTAGATAATAATACAAAAAATAGTATACAAAACTTATCTGGCAGGGGAGACACCATAATCAAGGAGGTGATTTTCCCAGTGGGAGGCTCAACCATGAACCTTGGGATGTGCTGACCCCTGCTATTTCCCAAACAGGGAAAATTCAGCTACAGAATTTGTGATAATAGGGGACTGTATTTATACTCTCCTACATTAAAAGAAAATAGTATACAAAGTTTTTAAAAATAGTTTTTGGTTTTGTTATAAAACAAAGTTAAGAGACAATATTTTAATATAGATTTTAGACACAGGTATTAAGAGTGGGACTTAGAAAAGCACAGTGTCATAGTCTCTGAGTAGATGTGGGTGTCTCAAGGGGGAGGAACTTCATTCCACTATGTGTGTGCTCAAGCCCATTTACCATTCATGACTTTGTATGGAGAGGAGAGAAACAGAAGAATAGGCATTAAGAGGAGAATTGGAACATAAAGAGAATGAGACAACACTCAATATTTCCACTCTCAAAAGAGATGTTCTGAGAAGGCAGAGGGCAATCTCTCCTTGGGTCAGTGAGATAGCTCTCCACAGATAAAGCTGTCTCTACCCCTTGACCTGCTGTTAGCGGGCAGATGGGGAACACAGCACTGACTGACAGCTGGTTTTTCAGCTTCAGCTTCAGCTTCAAGCTTCTGACCCCTTGCTTGTGCTGATTGCATTGGGCGTTTCTAACCATGTCCACACAGAATTTGTTTTAGACAAAGTTGTGTTCAGTTCAGGGTGGCCTCAGACATTCTATATAACCAAGAATTGCCTGATCCTCCTGCCTAGGACTACAGGTGTGTGATGTTTATAACATACATGCTGGAGATTTCTTGCAGTCTATCAACCAGGCTACATCCTCAGCCTAAACTGTTGTTGTTATTAAGACAGGGTTTCACTATATAGCCCTAGCTGGCTTGGAACTCACTGTATAGTCCAGATTGGCCTCTTAATTCACAGAGATCCACCTGTCTCTGCCTCTGCCTTCTGAGCATGTACCACTATGCCTGACTTAACTTTTTTAAATCATCATATTTGACTCCAGTACCTGGCACATGATAGGCTTGCCCTACTCACTGTAGTCTGCTCAAAGAAGGATTTATTTATTTGTTTTGTTTTTTGAGCATAAATCTATCAAATAGTGGATAAACTTTGAGGCTTTGAAAAGCAATTCCCATCGTTTCAAAATGCCCAGTTGTTAAACTTACAGGACACAGCATATGCTGACTAGCACTTCTTTGGCTATTGTAAAAAGCATGCTTTTCTCTCATTACATCCTTCTTTCAGCCAGTGGAGTGAAGAAGATGAGCTCGCTGATGCCAAGCAGAACTCAGAGTGGATGGATGAGTGTCAGGATGGCATGTTTGAGGCCTGGTATGAAAAAATAGCTCAAGAGGATCCAGAGAAGCAGAGGAAAGTAAGACCTCTCAGCTACTAGGAGTTTAGAGAAGAGGGTGTCCCTGGGGTGCATTTGGATGATGTCTTCCAGAGGGCTTCTGGGAATATGCAGGACCAATGTCTGGTCTTCATCCTTATGTGATCCACCTCCATGGCTTACGTCCATAGAACTAAGCTCACAGCAGAGTTTCTTATAAGACTGATGTATATTAGATGCCAGTGTATTAATTTAGTGAGAAATGGAATTGCTGAAGGGTTTGGACTGGGCTGACATACTGTCTACCTGTAGGCAAGCACCATTCCAGTTACAAGGTTGGCAATCACGTGAGCTTGGAAGCAGCTTCTGTTTCTCTTTGAGTGTTAGGAATCAGCTTAGGTAGCCTGTCTGTCTCTGTGTAAGGTGCCCCATGTGCCACTACTACATGTGTCAGGCGTCTGCTGCCTTGAAGCCACTCATTTTCCCCATATTAAGTTCCTTCTGTTTGTCAACCATTCTGTCCATTATAATACATACCTTTGTGGTGCTTATGAGGAACACACCAACTGAGACTTGTGTCTTGTCTCTTGTAAGTTCATATCTGAATGAGAGTGTCCTGTAATGCTCAGGTGACCTGGCAGATTTCCTCTTCAACAACATACCATCTACTACCAAACAGTGACTTTCTGACTTGGTTTCCTCATATGCAGACTAAAATAAACTGCCTTGTAGCCACCAAGTGCTTTCCAGTAACCTGATAGCTTGTTCATGTAACAGTCCCTTACAATCTGCTCCCAAGAAGGAAGTTAACTAGCTAATAGAAAGTCTGTTGACTAGTTGTGTGGCTAACTAGCTAGGTAGTTAGTTAAACATGAAAGACTTATATGATCTAAGGAGAAACCAGAGTATTGTTTGTCTGTTTGTCTATAGAAAGGTCTAGGCTGGCCCAAAACTTGCAATCCTCCTGCCTCAGTCTCCTGAATGCTGGAATAATGAGGAAGCACCACCATGCTCTGCTATTTTAATGTGCCAGAATCAAGAGTCCTATTTTGGTGTTTGTTTGCACTGCCATTGTCTAACAAGCACCCAGCCAAACATCTGGATTTCATTCTTGATAGTCCCTTTATTAATTTGGTCACCAAAGCTTCTCACTCTGCCTCCTTACTGAAATCTGCCTACTTTCCCCATTCTGTTTACGTTTCAGTCCTTGCCCTTAGTACCACCTTGGAGTTAATTGAAAAGCTATATCATAGTCAGCTTCCCTGACCCTGGTCTTGGTTTTATCAATTCATTCTTTGCTCTGCAACCAGAGGAACCTTCAGAGTGCCCAAATCTATTGTCATTACTTTTTTGTTTAAAAACTGCTTTAAAACAAGTGTTTAAAAAAGTTTTTTAAAACACTAGCAGTTTAGGCTCCTTGAAGTTTACCTTTCTGACTCTACCTGGGTATTCCTCCTCTGTGCTCTGCTATACATACTATATTATTGCCCATTTCAAAAGCCCTGGAGCTAGAGAGGTGGTTTAGTGGTTAAGAGTACTCACTGTTCTTCCAAAAGACCCTGGTTTGGTTCACAATCCCAGTAACTCTAGCTCTAGGGAATTCAATGCTTACATCTGCAGGCACACACACATGCACGTAAGTAAAAATACATCTTTTAAAAAAGCAAACCAAAAAACCCTTGTCTTTTTTTCTTTTCTGTCTGTTTTTCTATGCCTTGTACCTGCTAGGCAAGTGTTCACACACTCAGCTACATCCCCAGCCTGTGTTATGCTTCCTTTTTGCAGGTTCAAAGCTTTTGTAGACATTGCTATTCCTTCTCTTTGTCAACTTTATCTCCATCCAACTACCATATGTTTGTTCTTGGTTTTAACTGAGGAATTGTCTTCCTTGAAAAACCTTCCTTGACTGTCCTAATACCTTTGATAGTGTCCTTGTGTTTGCCTGTCAAAGCATTCCCCACACTGTATGACTACCATCTGTTTGCTTGAGGGAATTCCCAAATGGGTACTTGCTTATCCAGCCTTCAAATCCTAGCACCTGGTACAAAGCTTGAGTGATCTTAGGTACCTCCTGAGTGAATGAATTGATTAATGAAAGAGGCCACAATGGAAAGTCTGTTGGCTAATTGTGTCCATTTCACCTTACAGATGCACATGTTTATTGCTCGATACTGTGACCTGTTAAATGTGGATATCTCTTGTGATGGATGTGATGAGATTGCTCCCTGGCATCGCTACCGGTGTCTGCAGTGCAGTGACATGGACCTCTGCAAGACTTGCTTTCTTGGTAAGCTTCAAGGGGAATCCATTTCAACAAGTAACAGTTGTTTCTGTTTTCTATGATTTTGCCATTTTTAAAACTCATTGTAGCCAGGCAGTAGTGGCGCATACCTTTAATCCCAGCACTCAGGAGGCATAGGCAGGCAGATCTCTATGAATTCCAGGCCAGCCTGGTCTGCAGAGTGAGTGCCAGGACAGGCTCCAAAGCTAAACAGAGAAACCCTGCCTGAAAACCCTAAATAAACAAACAAACAAATAAATAAATCCCACTGTGCTAAATAGAGACATTGTCTCTGCTCCAAAGCTACACAAAGAAACTCTGCCTGGAAAAACATAGATAGATAGATAGATAGATAGATAGATAGATAGATAGATAGATAGATAGATAGATAGATAGATAGATAGATATCTCTAGTTCATTGGCAAATATGAGTCATCTCCCTCAACTTGATGATGACTTCCACTGCTCCTGTCTGACATCCTTCCATCTCCCATCCTTTAAACTTTTAGGACCAATGAATACAGGCTCAGATAAGGTTTTAAGAAACTTTGCTTCTGAATCACACAATGCTTCCAAATAGCAACATATATGTGCAACCAAAATAAATTTGAAATGTTCTTTAATATACTTGACTCATGGGTGCTAGGGCAGAGCCCTTCTGCAGCAGTGAGCCCTGGAGAGCTCTGTGTATTTGAAGCCCAGCAGTAAAAGTGGAAATACAATCTAGCAGAGAGACCAAACTCATGCACATAATGAATGCATATGCTGTTATAAATGAGAAACGCAGAATGTTTCTGGGAAATTTTGGAAATATAGCAGTACTCTACAGGGAAGCCTTGTGAAGGAGATAGGGTAAGAATTGGTCTTTGAAGGAAGTTTGAACTGGATGACATTACAAAATCCTGGAGATAGCATTACCATCAAGAGCAGAACAAGATCAGGGACAGGAATGAGTGCTTTCAGTGAATATAGACAAATATACTCCAGTGTCTGTCTAGTTAAGTGATAGACTAAGACAGATAGGGTCCAGGTTGTGGGACTCTGAGATGCTAGGCTAAGGAAGGTTTATAGCTAAGATGTTACTGTGATCAAAGATATGCTCAGGGAAGATGGTCTGTGTCATTCTCCTTTAGGAGACTCTAGTCACAGGGCGTTTGGGCCTATACCAGGTTCACAGCACTGGGAACAGAAGTGGCCAGCTGTGAAGAGTATTGAGCAGGGACTTAGAGAGAGAGAGATCAGAGTAGCCTGTATTGTTCATGTCTGTCATTCTCTTAATCATCAGGTCTCGGATTCCAAAATGCATGGGCTTATTTCTCCCAAGTAACAGTCATGGTAGGAATTTGGCATGTGTTTGACCTGACTGTGACACTGTAGAATGGGGATTAGTCAGCTGAACCATTGCCAAAGATTCCGTGCTGAGAATATCACTGATATGCTCATAGCTACCAGGGCATTCTGGCCTTTGAAGGAACCCCTGCCTTCTGGAGTAGTAATTCAGAAATGGCTCTGGTGC